TAAACTCGGTATAGCCATGCCTGGGTTTCCTGTGTGCAGTGTAGTAATACGGCTGGAAGCACTTTGGCACAAAGCCCTTCTGGCTTATCCTGTAGTGACCTTCAGTCTTTAGCCTTCCTGCTTTAGTTTAACTTACGCAGGCACTGACCTTTGCTATGGAAACGATATAGAAACACAAAAACAACTTGGCTGAGTTTCCTCAGCAGAGCAGTGGGTGGTGGATCAGGATTCTGTTACAGAGCAGGGTTTCTAGAGGTCAGTAGTGACACTGTGCAGTAACTTACTAGTTGTCTACAGCACACTGTTTGCTGCTCCTGGGAAAGTGGTTTATCTTTTTTTTAAAGTGAAATTAGTAACTTTTGTTTGTAGTGAGCAGGTCTGGGACTGCATGTTAATGGAGTAAATGCTGGAAGGTGTACCTGAAAGTCCGCCTAGGGTTCGAGCAGTAGTTCAAGTTCCTGTCCATCTGTAAGTGACCCGTGACTGAATCCGGGGCATGCTGGTATTGTAGTGACTTACTGTAACACATCTTCATCGTGGTGATTCTGCAGCACTTGCCAGTAGGTTGTAAAATGCTTTTATTTAAATACCTATAGTCTGTACAAAGACACTGTGTTCTTATTTGTGTGTATTGTGTGTTCTTTTCTAAGGTGAAATAAAGGTTCGGATACCATGTCTTCATTATGTATTTGAACAAAGCATAGTGTATGTTCTTTCAAGTTAATTATGTAGGTATTTTCATTGAAAAACAATTAGGAATTTTGTTCTACTGACTTAAATGTTTGGGCTGTTTAACATATAGAATTGTGCATAAAGCAGACAAGGTAATAACCCTGCTGTCAATGAAATTAAGAACAATCAACATTTTTTTGAATGAGAACAAAACTGTATAAAAAAGGAATGCATTTTAAATTCCAAAATATGTAATTTTTCCTGATTTGAAGTTGATTTGGGGTAGTAAGTCTTCTTTGTTATTCACAAGACAGGTATTGCATCAATAATGGCAATTCAGGCTCCAAATACGATTTTTCTTTTGGAGGAGAGATGACACCATTCCTAGGAGACAGAAGGTAGTTCAGATCCTATGATGATTCAGTCTCCAGCGGGGACCCAGTGTGGTGGGCAGAAAGTTCTGCTTTACTTCTTTTGTACAGGGAGAGACATCCAAGGCTTGCTCTCACCAGGATTAGCCATAGAATGGATTTCAGAACACTTCGATACCCTTCAGCAAACTGCTGAATTCCCTGTAGTTAGATATAGTGGGGGAACTTCCAGGTGCATTAATAGAGTACTCCAACACTGTCTTCTCAGGAGTGGTGTGACATGGGCTTTCTTTAATTCTGTTGTGCTACACAGTGTGTTGGTTTCACTATGGCCTTTGAGTGATTATGTAATAGACACTACATGGGATGTGCAGGGCATCCTCTCCATGAGCCAGCAGATCATTTCCTACTGAAGCTTTGGCTCATTGGCCCCCACAGGCTCTTATCTTTGATTACAGACACTGTAAATCTTTGATTTACTTTTGCAGAATCCATGGCATGCGTGGAGTTGTCAGCTTGCTTATTACACAAAATTTTACGGGAAAATGTTAACTCTAAAGCACAAATTTGTATAATAAAGGTTGAGGGGTTTTTATCCACATGTTTTTGACAGTCTCTCCAGCTCCCCGAGTTTCACTAGCACATCAGGCTGTCTCAGTAGCATCCACAGCCAATTAGGCTTACTGGCTTTTTGCTGTAAATAGGGCTGTTGGAAACACGAGGACACTGTGCAGCCTGTTCATTGCTTGCTTAAGGCTGGGATATGTTTCCCTTTAATGTGGCTCTGTTACTGCGATCAGGCCCTGAATTATACTCTCTGCTGTGGGAAATAGGGGTTGTTCTCTTCTTCCCCACCCCTAGCTTATTTAGTTGCCACATGTATTGCACACATTGTTTATATTTATGGCTTTACAATGTTTTTTCTCTTTTTATTTTAAACCTTGAATAAATGCAGTAAATTATCAGCAATGCAAAATATACATTTTTGAAGTCTCTGCTACCTTGCCAATGTGTTACTACTCTCTACCTAACCGTATTTTTGTATATTCCAATACCTTTAAGAGGACATCATTGCAGATCCTTTATAGCAATTTATTTGAGACAAAGCTATAATGGAAGCATCTGATTGACCTAGTTCAGGGGAGGCCTTGTTGGCTTTCTGTTTGTTTTGGGACTGGTTTGCACTAGCATGGCTTTTAAGTATATATGAAATTTTCAGGGGTTTGTCCTGATGTTATTACAGATAATTTTTGGGGTGCCATATTTATATGCTTCGGAATTATAAAATGCATCGATTTCTTCTAAATTACTATAAAAGTGTATTCTGTTGCATTACAGTATTTTCCTTGTAGTCTTCTTGGGGCATCTTGTTTTTCATTTAATTTAATATATAAAGCAGAAGAAAATTGACTGAAGGTGATAGTGTGTGGGTCTTGTGGGGTTTTTACTTCTTCTGAAACTGTAGTAAAATAGTTTCAAATGTCTACTTTGATACAGAGGTGTACTGCCATGCTGTATGACTCAAGCACACAAGCTGGTATCACAAGAGCATCCTGCAGCAAATGCACGTTGTAACCTATTGATATATAACTAATCTGTGGTGGAGTGGGCATTTTGTGTCGGACTTGCCTTTCCCAGAACATGCTTTGCATAAACCAGGCCCTGTATTCCATAATGAGATTTCAGGGTGAGGACAGATGGTCAAGAATCACAGAGGGAAAACTAGTGTTAGACATGGCTTTGAGCAACTCAAATGTAAATGGTCGTAGAGTCTCTCAGGCAATAACAGTGCAACTGCTGGCACAGGGAATGTTTCACTTCCCTAAATTAAACTCCTGCCCTGTGTAGGCTTCTGTAGAAGATGTTTTCTCCATGGACTGTAGACAGACCAGCTTAGTTTTACAAGTATCCCTACCACCCCTCCTTATCTCTCATATCACCAGTATCTCTAGAACTGCTGTGTACAGACCATTGTTTGGGAAGGGGAAAATAGCCTTAATTGGAAATTAGCTTTGTCACAGTGACCGCATTTGGAACTTAGTCAAAATTTTGAATAGGTCTGGCTTGTAATTTTTATAATTCCCAGTATTAGAGTGAACACACTAACGTCACATCTAGGCTGGATTCCATTGTGTTAAGATTTAATTTTAACTCTGAGGAAAATGGATGATGCAGTCACAGTGTTGAGAACTTGTGAAAGATGGCTGCTGTAAATGCTAAACTAATACATGTCCTAAAATAATTCAGACTAATAGAAAATATTAAAATATTCGTTTGATATTTAACAAAAAAATCTTTTGGAAAGACATTGGAGTCCTGCATCAAGTATAAAACGGAATTTGTGCATGTGTATGTATTTCATTGATGTAACAGTCTCTGTGATCCACTCTGATCACAACACTAAGAGGAAAGTTCCTTGTGGTCCAGTTGTGTTCCTGTAGTTACAGATGAATGGAGAGAAACCTGTCAGTACACTGATGGCCACAGGAGATTCTTTATATCTACTGCAACATTTATAAGTGCTTGTTTATCACATTTATTTACATGGGAAGCAACTCTGATTATCTAGACTGCCTCCACTCAGTGTCAGAAGGGTTATTTTGGTTTGGTTTGTTGGGTGTTTTTTAGCTGGATTTAGCAGTGTTTGTACTGAGAAGTCCAGGGAGAACAAAAAGATGTTACATATTGACAAAGACTTTCCAGACTTCTGTTGGAAACCAAACTTCTGTTTTTGATTGAGAAAGCTCTAATAAAAGTGATAGGTCTGGTAGGCGCTGTTGAAGCCATAACTTGAATATATAAAGCAGGCATTCATTTGGTCCATAAAACTTCCTGCCAGGAGTAGTGCACCAGCAGTGGGCCTTCTGATTGCTGATGTGGGTGTGCTTTGGGCTGTTGTGCTGCTGACTACTGGCGTTAAATTACTCTTCTGAGTAGGTTAAATTGACATGTTTTGTTTGGTTTTTAAGTGTTAGTTCTGTAAAGAGCTTGGATAATATTGTTGTGTGACCAAATAACTCTCCCTAGAGACAAAAATATTGACATGACAAAACCACGTTTAAAGAATGACTGTCTGGCCCTGCCTCTGGTTTGAACATAAGTTGATGTCAAAGTCAATGAAACATAAATTTGCTCCAGTGCAGTTTAGAAATTATATAACTTGCAGCATGCATCAATCTGCCAATTGCAGGAAGGTGAAGTAAAATGGATTTATAAGAAACATTTTATAGGCTTCAGTTTTAAAATTGCAGTGTCTAAAGGAAACTTTGGTATTACTATTGGCTACACTCGTTTTCTTAAATCTCCTGGATAATATTACCGTTGTACTATCGTAAAACGAGCTTTTTCTTTTAGAGTCAATTTATTATTTTTTCTGATGTTTCAGTGTGTTGTGCCTAGAATTACTGCTGTTAGCTCAAGCAACAGGTGGTTTTATGATAACTGAATGTATTGGTGGCTAGATGTGTATTTAAGAAAAGGAGAGATGTATGAATCAACATTTGCAAAATTTGGGAGGTTTTAAATATTTTCTTTACCAAAAATACACCACACGTGATTTTCCAGCTATTAATTACATTTTCTCAGTCCTAACATGATACATTTGCATTCACAAAACCTCTTATGTTTAATAAAAGTTGCTATTCCAATTTCATAAAATATTTTAGTATTTCTGGAATCTAGGCGATCTTTAGTAAAATTGATAATTAGACTTTGATTAAAAACCATATCAGAAACAGACCTATAACATAACGTAGCTTTGATGTTGAAATTCTGTAGATAGAGCAATTCTCTTTGAAAGATTTTAAAATAGTAACAATGGTATTTTAATATCCATTTGTTCTGGTAATTGTTGCCAGTACTTGTCTTTGGGGACAGATGCCTGTACTCAGTTTTCTGATTGCCGAAGAATTGCACACACAGATGCAGCAGAAGTCAACTAATGTGTTTTTCCATCAGCTCCTGGGCTACAGTGAAAAGCCCGTGAACCTCCAAATGTTCATCGGGACAGCGGACGATCGGTACCTGCGGCCTCACGCCTTCTACCAGGTGCACCGGATCACTGGGAAAACAGTCGCGACAGCCAGTCAGGAGATAATCATTGCCAGCACCAAAGTTTTGGAAATTCCACTTCTTCCCGAAAATAATATGTCAGCCAGGTACACCACTGCATAAATCAGCTGTTTGGTTGCTATGTGTCCTTTTTTTTCTTCATTTGTGCAAAGGTGAAAGAAAAGTCATGTAGGAAAATATATTTTCCACAAATGTGGATCATAATTAAGATAGACACGTCTCTTAAAACATACCAGTGTTTAGGTAGTCAGAAGTAAAGGAGTAGAGAAGGCAGGCAAGCTCTCATGCATACGTGTTAGTTGACTGAGGTAAGTGTGTCTCATATGAATAACTGACCGCTGTGTGGAATGGGAGCTGGGATTTTGTCATTCCCTAGTCCTTCCTAAGGCAGAACTAAATATAGGTCTCTTGCTCTTTGTAAATTATGTTTACTATATTATATAACTTCCTTGGAAGGTTAGATAATGTGCAATATCAAATAATCTTTTAAAGGTTCGAAAAAGCAGCAGTTAGACATTTACAAGACAAAATGTTTCAACAGAGTGCTTGCTGTCATTTTCACACTAACAGTTCTTTTAATCTCAGACATCTAAAATAACACTTAAAATAACACAACATGGGGAAAAAATAAAACATGCTTCATTCTTTAACGAAAGAAAGGCTTACAGACTATATTTTGTCAATAGTTTGATTCATTTTCTTCTGCTCCATCTGTCCGTCCTCTCCATCCCGTAGTATCGATTGTGCTGGTATTTTGAAGCTTCGCAATTCAGACATAGAGCTCCGTAAAGGAGAGACAGATATTGGAAGGAAGAACACCAGAGTGCGACTTGTGTTCCGTGTTCACATCCCACAGCCTAGTGGAAAAGTCTTATCTCTGCAGACTGCTTCCATCCCTGTTGAATGCTGTAAGATTGCTTTAACTATACATAATTTATACTCATGTTTTCTGCATGTGTCAGTAGTATTGTCATTCTGAGAATATTTATTGCCAGAATTATATATAAAAAGTGTGAAAAGCATTGTGCATAAAAGCTCAATTATCAAAAGTTGAGGTATCTTAAAGACAGTTCTTGCTAAGTGGTAGCCTGAAGGTTTAGGGTAAAAAATACCTTATAGTGCAGTCACATAGCAGCTTCAGTAGTTCCTTTGTATGAGAAGGGGCAGGTGATTCATCTCAGAGAAAATATTCATTCCAGGTAGAACTAATACTGTTTCATTTACAAGGGTCTATACCGTTACTTGTCTTTATAAAGTATTATCTAGTGAACAGCTGAACTTCTGGAGAGTTCATTTGTCAAATGCTAGCACTAAAGAATCAAGACATGACCTCAAACAATCTCAGTTTCTCCTAGAATTCACTTTGTCTAGAAAATGCTAAAATAATTTTTAAACTAGTATTCCTAAACTAAAAATTTCATTTGCTGTAAAAATAGAGACTGTTGAGATTCATGGCTTTTTGGTGTTTCTTTTCTGTAATTATGCAATTTAAACATAATTTTTAAAACAAAGATATATCATACACATATATGAATTGTGTATGTAAATAGATGTCATTTTAGTTTCACCCCTGATTCTTCAAGTTAGAATCACAAAATAAATGTCATTATGATCAAAACTGTGCATAATAATTTTTTTCTTAATATTTTTTAAAGCTCAGCGGTCTGCTCAAGAGCTTCCTCAGATTGAGAAGTACAGCATCAATAGTTGCTCAGTAAATGGAGGTCATGAAATGGTGGTGACAGGATCCAATTTTCTTGCAGAATCCAAAATTATATTTTTTGAAAAAGGACAAGGTAAATACTGTCTTGCTGTTTTTTCTTGAAACCAAAACCACTATCTGAGTTTGATTTTAAGAAGCAATGATGTTTTAAAAAGAAAAAAAAGTCCTGAATAGTAATCTGAAACTTCATTTGGGCACTGATCGATGTGCTCGAACAGCTTTGACAGAAACGCTGCTGCTGCTGCTTTCCTGCTACCCTGTACAAACCCCAGTGACAGAGAGAGTCGAGTGCTCAGTTAAGGATATGGGTTATGCCAGGTCAGAGCAGAAAGAGGTTCCCTAGGTGATTTACTTCCCTACCAATGCAGACAACTTGCCCAGCAATTGAACTACAGGGTCTGTGGGTTCAGGGGAAGGTGTTTGTGGTAAATGTCTATAACTTGTGGGTCGGGCACAAAGGTGTGGCTTATGTTATCTCTTGCATGGTGACTTAGCCCCTAAGTCATCAGCGTGTTTGAACAACCACAAGTGTTAGAAGCAATTTAACTACCTTTCAAAAATGTTTTTAGAAAAATAGGGTAAAAAGCACTCTGTACACTTAACAATACCCACTGCCTCCTTTGGAATTCAATCTACTGTATGGAATCTACTGGGTTAAAATGCAGAATCCTGCACAACAGTCAGCTTACAATGGTTGTAGTATTGAGACTCCTAAAGCATCTCTATACTTTACACTTTTTTTACAATTTATGTCTGCTGCTTATATGGCCTCTTTATGATTGAAAAGAAATCCAGTTTTATAATAAGTATTTAAGTATTTTTAAGATTAATTATTTAAGTGTATTAGAAAATGCTTTTTGCTTGATTTATTTCTAAATTTCTCTCAACAGATGGACGACCTCAGTGGGAGGTAGAAGGGAAAATAATTAGGGAAAAGTGTCAAGGGGTGAGAAACAACTTTTCTTACTTTAGAAAGCTTATTTTTATTCAATGAGAAAATACACATTTTCATTGTTGCTCTGAAATTTAGACTTCATTTAGGAAAGTAAGTAGATCACTGGCTAATTCAGACAGACAATGGGAGACTTCTAAATTGGCTTAACACTGTAAAGAAGCCATTAAGATGACGCTTTGAAGGAACTGGAAATAGCATGCTTTTTGTGAAAGCAATGAAAAACGAATTTGAAAACTGAAAAAAGGAAACTTAAGATAATTTTACAGAGATGACAAATTATTTCCAGTGCATTAAAATTTTTCTTAAAAACTTAATGATCCAAAATGCAATTCTTTGACTGCTAGAGGTTTTTTATGCTCTGGCAGATAAACAAAGCATCTTTTAGATGATGTGTCTATTTAATTAAAACATTTATCTTCAGAGCACTTGAGTTTAAAAGAAAAAAGTCTCCAAATAAAAATTTGCTTATAGTACTGTTTTATTATGTAATGTGCATTAACTTAAGTTTGACAATTTCAAAATATTAGGGTACTTTAATTTTGCAATAAGTGTTTTAGATTTTCTGTAATTAATAGCAGTTTCATTTGCATTTGATACGTAAAACTTTTTTGTTTCAATTTTCCTGTAGGCAAACATCGTACTTGAAGTTCCTCCATACCATAACAAAACCATTACAGCTGCAGTTCAGGTGCAGTTTTATCTCTGCAATGGCAAGAGGAAAAAAAGTCAGTCTCAACGTTTTACTTATACACCAGGTATTAAATGAAAAACACAGAAGTTGTATTTTATTTTGCTTTTAAAGTAGACATTTGAAAGAAACTCAGACAGTCGTGTCCCTTTGATAGGTACATAAGTTAGCTTTGAATTGGCTATAAAAGAGCTTCTAAAGGTTGTCTAATTAAAAAGCTGAAATACAGAGTAATAAGCTCCAGTACTATGATTACAACCAGGTATTTCTTCATTACATTTTCTAGAGAATTAATTTTTGCATTCTGCTTTTCTTTGAGAATGATGATGAATCTCAGAAGCTGCTTTTTAAATAACCCTGGTGATGACACGGAGAATAGTGAGATCATAGAAGAACAGGTTTATGGGGTTTTTTGCTCTTTTAAAATGTCAAAAAAAACCCCTCAGGTTTAGATACAAGGAAGATCAAAATATTTTTTCCCCCACCCTGGACACATTGCAGCTTACTGAGAGAAAATAGTTTGTAACTTAGCCAGAAGTGAAAATGGAACATGTTAACTGTAAGTGTAGTTAAAACATCTTAATCCCTCCTATTTGGATGTGGAAGTGGTTGCTATGAGACATGCAATGCCTGCTTCTTTGCCTGCCACTTTCTTTTCCTTTAAGAACTGCACACCCATTTAGAGCAGTCAGAATTCCCAGGGAACCAGTGATGGTGGGGACTCTTAAGCACTCCTTGGAGCACTTGAAGCCAGATATCTGAAGGAGTCTTTAAAGTCGGATATGGATATTAATATAAACTTCTTGAAGCCAATATATATGCTGACAAACCCAACTTCCATTAGTTTACACAATTTAAAATAAGTTGTGCTCACTTGTTGTGCTCTAAAAATACCTTCATACCTTCCTGTGTTATGTAGGCAGTATTACTTTAGGTGTCTGGTACGCCTAATTGTTACCAGATTTCTGGTAATTTTCAACTATTTTTAAGAATATCAGCTCCTAAGATAGTTACACATCTTAAACTATGTTTTTGTTTGAGAAATCTGTATTTAAAGTATTTAAATGGTGGAATGAAGTAATGACACATTACCTAAATAAGAAGCAATTTTAATCATAACTGCAGCTGTTATTACACACTTTAAAATCCATTTCATCTGTGTATGTGTAACAGTTCATTGAACTGCAATATTTAGTTAACTGTGTTTTATAAAGTAGTAATTGAGCTGTTAAGTGTTAACATTTTTCTACTACTTGTACTTAAGATCAGTATCTTTTCATGAGACTATCAATAGTTAAAAAAACCCAAACCTGTAACTGAAAGTGTGTAATTTTGTAACTCTGTATTATAAGAACAGTTGTTGCCATCATTGAAGTTGAGGCATGTGCTGAAAGAGCTGCTGTAATCGAAACAACGTGCACTACTCAAACTAGTTTCTGTATTGCCGAAGTTCAGCTGTCATAGTGATCAGAGGTGAAGGAAAGCTTGAAGCCTGCTAAAAATTTCCTTCATGTTTTGCCAGTGCCTGATACTGAACTCACATCTGCCTGTTTTCAGTGGTGCCCAGCAGCAGCCCCCTGGTCCCTCTGGCGATGAGTGCATCCTTTAGATGTACTGGACTTTCTCTAACTGGGTTGCAAATGTCTTTAAATACATACATTTCTTAGGAGGGTGTGTTAGAAGGGAAGATAACTACCTTTGAATACGTGCTAGGAGAGTTGTTCTGGCTTCTCTGGGTTAATATAGCAGGCATGAAGTCAAAGATGATGAAAGCAGAGCAAAAGAAGGGACATTGCAGCAACGACACTAACAGTGCTATTGTGGTTGTTAAACAGCAATTGGTGTGTATTTATCCCGGGATACAGATGGGTTGGAATTGTGAAACTGTTTTACTTTTTCTAGTTATAATGAAGCAAGAGCACAGAGATGAGGTGGATCTGTCTGCTGTTCCATCTCTGACCCTTCCACACACAGGCAACGTCCAGGGCCTGCATTCGATCCGAACTCAGCTGCCTTCACCAGAGCAAGGGCACCCACATGACAATTTGCTGTCTACGTCACCCAGGAGCCTTGTGTGTCCTGTTCAAGCACCGTATACAGCAATGGTGACCTCGGCAGTGTCCCACCTGCCACACATGCAAGGTAGAAACCTTAGTCCAAGTGAAGAGTGTCATGTTTTGCCTCCTGCTGTGGTTCAGTCTTTTCAGGTAACATCAGCACCTTCTGTGAGGCCTTCTTACCCGCCTATGCAGTCTAATGTGTACAATGGACAGTCTGGTCTTCCTATGAACTCTGCCTCCAGCCAAGGATTTGATGCTATTTCATTTCCTCAAGACACAGCTGTACCTCATTTGATAAATCTTGGCTGCCAAGCTCTACCACCAGTGCAGTTTCATTCTTCAAATCCAGGTTCTGTGTCAACATCAAGTACAGCAGGGCACCCATTGGCACATCCAGCTCATTCAGGAGAGTCATCTGCTCACCTGCCATCAATGGGATACCACTGCCCAAGCACTGGGCAGGGCTCCATCCCTTCTGCAATGGGTCTCTCCCTTGGGCAGTCTTCTCCCCAGCTACAGCAAGTCCCATACCATTCTACAAATCCGGCATCCGCTTCATCCCCGTCCCCGACAGCTTCCCACCCATTGGTCCACTCGCCGCTGTCTGGACCTTCCTCCCCGCAGCTACAGCCTCTGCCTTACCAGTCTCCAAGCTCGGGACCCACCTCCTCCCCCCCACCCACTAGTCACTCAGGCCAGCACTCCCCCCAGGCCCCCAGCCCTGCCCTGGGGGCTCTCAGCGCTGTGTCACCCCTCGGGCACCACTCTGTGTGCGACTCATCTCCGTTTGCACCCGATGGGGCAGCTATTAACATTAAACCCGAACCTGAGGATCGAGAGCTGAATTTTCAAACCATAGGACTACAAGACATCACACTAGATGATGGTAAGTGGGTATAATATTTTAATACTGGGATATAATCTACATGAAACTGCAAAGTGTGTGTGTGAGGGTTGTTTGGTTTAGAATGCACTCCTCTTCACGGAAGGAAATTTGTATCATCACAATGGAGTCATATATTTGTGTCCAAAGAAACAACTTATTTAAAACTAATTATATCAGATGTAAATTTGTAGTTATACAGTTCAAGTGTTTTAGTCTAATTTGCCCATAGAATTTGGTTTTGTCATAAAACAAGGCTTGAGGATTAACTCCTACACACTGACACCTTATATTCAAGGAATTGATTTGAAGCCTTTTCAGGTTGTCTCATTGGTATGTTTCAATGAAAGTCATAATAAAATATCTAAGTTGCATAGATGTAGTTTGGATTCTCGTTTCTTGGAGTTGTCCCAGTTTTGAAGGGCAGGGTAGTGTTTTGAAAATCTCTCACATGCATTTTGGCACTCTCTTAGTCTCCTCACAGGCGTTCTGTAGATACACTGCCATCATTCAGCACCTCTGCTCACAGTGGCTGTTTTGCTTTCTCCACGCTGGCTACCTTTTTGAGAAATTCAGTTGTTGAACATGAACAGAACAAGGACGTTTCAGTGCTAAAGGCAGGCTGTAAAAGTCTGTACTTTAAATACTTGGAAAGTGTCACTTACAAAACTTGTCCAACCAAGTGAAAAAAGAAGAAATATCCAATCGCAAACATCAAACTATTGGAGGTGTTGATGCAAAGCAATTTATAGAACATGTCACGCTAATAAGACTGGAAGAACAGAGGGCCTGACCTTAAATGACATGTAAAATGTGTTTGGTATTGATGAAGGGAATCTCACTAGTGTATCTTTTCTCCAATAGCCTTTACTGTTGTGGCTTGGGGTTTTTTTAACCATCCCTAGTAATTACTTAATTACATCAGCAGTAGTATAAAGATTTAAGTGTGGGTCATCTGTTAAATATGCATGTCAGTCCCAGCTCCTTGCATAAATGCAGCCTTGCTATTGTCACCTCCTGACAGTAGTAACAAAATTTAGTAGGAAATGCCTTCAAAGACAGGGCACAGTAGGAAGAAAATGAGAGAAACCAATATACTTGGGCTTTCATTTCAGAGGCCACCTTAATTAAACAAAACTCTCTTTTTAGAAACACTGTTTATCAATCAACTTTATTTAGAAAAGAAGAAAGAGACTGATTCTATCAAGGACTTGCTGAGGAGAGGAGAGCAAGGCTTTGTGAAACAATATGCAGCAAAAAAAGTAGCATTTTCTACTTCTGTATAGAGGAGTGAGAAAGAAATCTAGTGTTTCAGGACATGTCAGGTTAGAACCTACTTTTTTCTCATCCTTCTTCCCTCCACACCCACAAACAAAAGATGTAGAAATAAATAAAATACAACTGAATACTGTAGTTAGACTGTTCACAGTGTAAGCAGAAGTGTTTAGCATTTATGAGCATCTTGGCAGTTTGTTTATACTTGTTCAGAAATTAAAATGGATGCACAGTAAAAAGAAAGCCATTTTTTTTCCCTACATCACAAATATTAGTTGCTTTTAGAAACTATTTCCATGGCTTAACACACCGACATTACTGAGTTGTTTCTGTGCTGGCAGACATCGAAGCACAGGAAAAGCTGTAATAGCCACACTTCAAGCATGGCCACTTGTTAATTGTTTAGAAAAATATAATCAATGTACATGTGAGTCAAATGGCCACAGCTTTATTAATTTCTTTTTTAAATAATGATTCTTATAGAAATTTGAAGAATTTCTGAAAACTGGTGATTAAACAAGACTCTTCCTATATGGAAAATTGAACATGGATTTAAATGCTAAATAGCACTTGGCAGCAGCAATAGGTTTGCAAGCAGAGAGGTTCCCTGCCTTTCCCTTCCATGCTCCTGCCATGCCTGGGGGTTGGGCTTGGGGCTTTTTTTCGTTTTCAATCAGCAAATACAAATCAGATGTCTGGTCTGAAACCTGCTGTTCCAAAAGTCTTAAAGAGCTGCTCAGTTCTCTCAACATGAGTGAATACTTCCTCTGCTTAATCAGCTTAAAGTAAAAAAAAAACAACCCAACATGTTTAGACAAGAACAGTTTTTTAATAATATATCTAATGTGTTACTCTGGTTTTAAAATTAATTTAAATTTTTTTTCTTTCGTGTCTATTTGAATTTTAGTTTCTGTACAAATAGAGCCAGGCACAAATGGCAAATAGGTTTTTCTGCAATAATGTTATAACAATTAAAGAAAAACATCCAAACATAGTTACACACATAAATGAATGTTGATACAGTATGTTCTCCCAACTAATACATCAAACATGAAAACTATATTTAGTTGGAAAATAGGTTTTTAAGGGTTAACAATTAAGGCAAATAAAGCTCTCAAAACACTGAGACAAAACCAATTGAAAATTCTTTAAATCATGTCTGGATTACTGACTTATATATTTAAGTCAGTAGTCTTAAAGTAAACAAAAAATTCAAAAAAACCTCTGAGGGCATAAATTACCTTCTTTCTTTTAAGTAACATGCACTATTTAAAAATTAAAATAGTAGATGTTTTCTTTGCCAAGAAAATATTTCAAGAAATATTTTACAAAATTTCAGTGCAGTATGGAAGTGCTACCTCATGACAAAGTCCTGGAATTCCTGTGTAGCTTTGACAGGATATGATTGAAAATTCTTTAAAAACAAAAAACACTACAAAAAAGCCACCACAAAATGGAAAAAAAAAAAAAAAAAAAGACAAAACCAAAAAGACACAAAAATCCCCACCAAAACACCACCAACCCCACCTCCAGAAGTGGCGGTCTGGGTAGTAGTTACGTAAATTCCTTTGAGCAAGACTTCTAAAAGTGAATCTTACTGCCTCTTCAGCCAGCAGTTAGGTGTTTTCTTCAAAACACACCAAAAACCCCTCCAAATCCACTAATCCAGAACTACAAAGATGCTTCATCCATCAGTGCTCAAGCCAAGAGCATCTGGATTAGTCTTAATCCAGCATCTCCTGGAAGGTGTAACACATCTAGAGTCACCATTTACACTTCCCTGAAAAGTCTAAGATGTTTGCCAGTGACCAGTGGAGCATCTTTTTAAATTTTGTTGCGTTCATTTGCCCTTTATGAGTCAGAGCAAGCTGGACTCTGTTCAGAGTATGAGTGAACACAGATTACATAATTTGAAAGCAGATCCTACACCTGTGTGTCTGCATAAAGGACACTTTTTTCCTTTTTTTTTCCTATACTGAAGTTTCTGTGACTCTTCATTATCTTGTTGTTCAACAGGATCCTGTTGATGTCTTTAGACTTCTCTAATCTCAAGCAGAATTTGCTAATCTGCTTTTTTTCTTCTCTTCCTGTCTTTGCTTCCTGCAGGAAACACTTTTTAATTCACTTGAAGAAACAAGGGATCAACATGCATGAGGATACCTAGATATGAAAATAAAATTATATTACAGAAAACATTTGAAACAACACAATTTCAAAGTAATATTTATTGTATGTTACTACTTCAAATGTGTTCTGGAAAACTCCTCTTTTCCGCTTAGGTCTTTACCAGCTTAGGCTGCACAAGCTGGTAAACTTTCAGACTAGAACTATGTGAAAGCAGCTTCTTACACTTTATTTGTCCCATCTGCTTTTTCTCTCCCCTGGTGTGTTGTTGGACCTTTTTTCCCTTAGTGTCGTTCAGCAAGTAGCCCTCTGCCCAACCCCCCGGGTTAACACTGCCCTGGATAGACAGTGGAATGGTTAGGGCTGCAAATAGGTGTAAACAAGGCAGCTGCAGTGACAGGAAACAGGCAGCTGGTCATTTCTATCCTTTCCCATACCCGTCATCCATACTGTGCTCTGCTGCATATTCCTCTAATAAAGGTCCCATTTCTTCCCCACTTGAAAAAAAAGCTACTCAAAGTCAGACTCAGTGTAGTTATATGATGAGGCCTTATTAATTTCCCCTCAGTCTGATTTAAAAAGTGCTCCTAGTGTGATGGTTTAGCTATCCCACTGTCAAGTTTTAGATTTAAATCTATTCTAATACTGTTGATCTAAAATTTAATCTCTTGTGGTTTGCAGTTTAGAAGGGAGTTTACCTTGGATTTCATGGCTTTCTACAGTGATGAGATTTCTAGCATGTACAGCTGTATTTAACCATTTTGAAGGTATTATGTTAGGCTGTATTCAGCAAATCAGGATGACCTTCTACTAATCCTCTTACATTTTGTAACTCATTGCATCTCCATTACATAAATCTGGAGATTAGAAAAGCCAGTATGTGGATTTACTATAAATCATAACTAGAAATCCCCTAACCATTTTGTGTATATAAAGCAATAAGTCTGCTTTGTCAGCCACATTCCATGTAGAATTCTAAGCCATTAGCATTCATTCATTTTAGTAGTTCTGTGATGACTCTCTAGCTGATAAAGTCTCTTGCTGGGAAGCTCAGATTATTCTATCTTGGCTAGAAAATGTGTACATCATTACAGGTTGCTTTTTACTGTAGCTTCAGCTTAATTTCTGGATAATCAAAGTAGTAATTAATAAGAAAATATTGTAGAATGACTATACTTTGTATTTCTGCCTATATTTAAAACTTATGCAATAACAGGTCATTCCTAATTAAGGCAGTGTCCTGCCAAATGGAGCATTCAGAAAATACTGAATGAAAGAGTCTAGCTTAGTATGGAGGAGAGCAGCTCAAAAACCTGTTGTCTTGCTGGTGCAGCTCAGACTTGAGATGTACATCTCAAATCGAAGGTGGTTTTACTCTCTCCTAAGCATGGAACAAAATGTTGCACCTTGCAGCATGCCCAGCATGGGTTAAGATCCAGACTGAGCAGTAGTTTAAAAGCAAAAGGTTGGAGCGGTGAGGAAAGGTGGAGAGTGTTATCCATCAGGGGTTGTCAGCAGTTAAAGGAGGCTATGACCATATCTTCTAGTGGATTCATCGTGTTCATAAAATTTGTGACAGCAAGGCATCTATTGAGAAGACCAGTTACAGACTTCTGATTTGTAAAAATGTCAGTTAAATCCTCCGGTGTCTGACCAGCTCTCCCTCGGAGAGCCACAGGACATCTTGTAACGAATGCAAAGTAAGCTCAACTAGTAGTACCACTGCAGAAATATTTCCATTTAAGGATTAGAAGAGGTTAGAGACTTCTTCCATGAGAGCAAGTGGCATGTCTGCATCGTGGTGTAGGTGCTGGCAATAGCAGCAGAGCTGGAAGGAGCTCAGCATGCCTTGTGACACTGCAAAAATACACTGAGACACTTCAGCACTGCTTTCCACTGCACAGCACATGTCCTCTAGCACCAAAGCTCATGCTTAGTCCTGGCTCAGACTCATCTCTCTCCTTGTGTGAGAGAAGGGGGTAAACATGACTTAAGGGAGTTGGGTTTACCAGGATACAGAAATGCAGAGTGTGACATCATGACCGAGACACGAACAAGGTATTTGTTACTGTACCACATAACTGCAGAGCTTGTGCTTTGACTCTGCAGGCACCTGCAGCTTCTCTGTGCAGCTATAAAGATAATGTGCACAGGAAAACTGTACTCCTCCAGCATTTCATGCAGCCTTATTTTGTCAGTTAATAAAAAAAGTAGTACTTCTTAGTAAAGTTGGCATCAAACCTGAAATTATTAAAAGCAAGTCTGGCCTATGACTTGGAATGATGATGTGCAAGGCAACCCACTGTGTCCTTGGTGGTTTGCCATAGCAGACATGGCCTGGCATATGACTGATTTGGTGTCAAACGAGCAGAATCAGCTGTGGCTGCTCCACAGCACAGAGGACTGAGGCTTAATTATAGCCTGGCAGCTTTTTCTTTTTTGTTGTTAGGGAAAGTTGACACTCTATTAGTTGCTGGTCATGTGGAGTCAAAACCAGGCTAAATATACTGCACTGAGCAATGTGATGTAGTTACAGGGATTCTTCACATAAATGCAGCTGATAGAGTTCTTTCTGGAGTTGACAACAAAGGCCTGTGTGTGAGGAAATGTGTGCTGCAGTCTGTCCATAGCGTTCTTTGAGGTTTACTGATCATTGTTGCCTCTGTCAATAGAGCGATTCACTCAGCCCTCCCCTAAACACACAAAGACAATTGTATCAACTTCTTTTTGTGGGGCATGTTAAGAAACTCTTACTTCCTGTAGCTACACTACAATCACATATCCCAAAATATTTTTGGAAAGCCACTTTTCTAAAACTAGTACATCTTCTAGGTTTAAGTCCCATTGCCCACACATCCTACTTTCAGTTCAGCAGCAATAAAGGATACACAGGCTAAACTTCTAATTGGATGGTGCTATAAAAAAGGAAGTTAGTTGACTCCTGTAGGAAGAGATTCTGAAAATCAAATGGTATAACTCCAGTAGCCTTTTGGTCTGCCTGTATCCATAACAGAGCTCTAATTTTAAGATGACTTCCTACTCTGACCCAAATCTGATGCAGATAATTGAAGGTTTAAAGCTTTTCTTAACCTTTCTTTACTTAAGGGATGAGTCAAGACAAAGAAGTCATTCATAAAAATATGAATTTTTCATCAGTTAAACAGATCTAAAGGGTGTCAGGTTTCTTGATTTTTGTTTCAATTTAATAGTTTTAATTTTGGTTTTATATTCTTTCAGTACAGAACACATTTTCATAGTGCTTTAAGATGTAAAAAACTTTCTCAAATGTTTATGAAATTATGAGGTAGAAAGGTATTTTTAATATACGTTTACCTGGTAGCTCAAGTTCTATCTAACTTACTTGCATGTTGAACAAACCTCTTATGCTACATAACACACTTGAAAAGGCTGATGCTTTATTTACCACGTTTCCCGAATACGTAGTGTGTGCCCAAGGCACATGTGCTTCATTCTAGAGGGTGCTGGCTGGAGACATGTTACGTGTGCTATGCATGACAATTTGTCAGGGGTTGATAAAAGCAAACATTCAGTATTTGGCAGCTTTGTTAGGGCACACGAGAACCTCAGAATCCCTCTAAGTATGAAATTAATTAGAAAAACTGCTCAGAATCATATTTCCCTGCTAGAGTGACAGATAACCCTCACTGTATAGGCTGTGCTGTCTTTATGGTGCACAGCCTGTTGCTTTAGGAGCTAATGAACTGCACTGTTCTCTCCGGAGGTTTTTTTGACAGTGTTTGTTGTCTGCTCCTTTGAAAGCTGTGCCTTTAAAGAGGGTTGCTGGCAAACATTAATTTGTTTCCCCTTGAGGTAGTTTCCTGCCCATCTCCCTGGTTTCATTAGATCTTTATTTAAATATCACTTTCTTGCTGTTTCTACCATAATTGGTGGAGGAAAATGCTCTTTTCTTAATCTCCTATTATTTGACAAGAATTTATCCTTAATCTATTCCTTTCCTTCACAGTGGCAGTGGGCATTTTCATTGAAACCCAGATAAAGCTTTCCACTTCCCATTTAAATACATGTAACTTTACACTTTGAACAATTAAGCATAAGAAGTCACCCAAAGAAGTCATTTGAGCTGCTTGAATTTCAGAAGGAAGTAAGAGGAGACTCATTCTCCTGGGAGTGACCCCTAAGCAGGGCTTAAAAACCATGCTGGCAAAACAAGTGTGTGCATCTATCCAGAAGGCACAAATTGGCCAAGGTCCAGAGTAATTTTGTTAATTGTGTAAAAGCCTAATTTACTAAACTTGCAGCTCTGTCTTGCACAGGAAAAAAAAAACAACTATATCCAACCCTGTACAGTGTTGTAAGCTCTGCATAGCCACCAGTCACAACTGAATAAACACACACTTGTTGGTTAAAGTAATGAACACACTATTTGACATTGATTTTTTCTTCCAGGAAAAGCAGTTCAGTGAAACACAGCTCTCCACTTCCTCTGGGATTTCTCACATGACCTTGGTCTCAGAGAGCCACCTGTGCCAAGATAGTACTTGGTATTCTGGCACTTGGATCTGTGTGTGGTCTGACTGCAGAGCAGTACCTTGGACAAAGTGTACAGACAGTGTGACAAGTAAAGAGGAAGACAATAGCTGTGTACAGGGACAGTTTCCTTTGGTTAAGGGATAGGGAAAATAGCAATAAAAGTTTTATTTACTAGTACTCTTTTGCCTACCTTGTTCAGTGGAGTTGCTGTCAAGGGGCAACTTTTTAATTTGACCACAGTAAGTAAAGCAGATTGAGAAAACTGCAGGAGGAATGTCTTAAACTAACACAAATACTAAAACAAACTTAAGTAGTATAAAAATCATGATGATACATCTAGGCAGACATCCAAAAATATTAACCATTACCTTTATGGCTGCTAACTGAAAAGTAACTAAGTATACAAGATAAGTGATACTGTTTTTTATAAGCACTCTGATAATTTATAAATAGTTATTTATGTCGGCTTACGCAGTAGTTAGTTGTGAATGAAGCTGGGTATTTAAATTTAGTGCTATTAAAAGAAAAATGAAAATCACTTCCTCGTTGAGTGAACTGTAACTTCTTGGTTTAGTCCAGTCAGTAGTTATGTCTGTCTTCTTCTCTGATACAGACAGTTTTATCTCTGACCTGGAATACCAGCCATCAGGTTCAACAGAGAAATGGACTCAACATTCAGCATTCATGTCCAACTCCTATGTGGAAAATCTAGAGGGTGAGTCTGCTTACTGAAATGCTTCAATGTTTGAAATTGGAGCACAAAGGAAAGGGGAAAGTCTTTTAATAGTCTTATGAGCTACAAGTGAAAAGCGCTGTGTAATACTGAAGTATTACTGTAATTGGACACCTGTGTATTCTGAAACAGTTGGAAATTCAGCAGTTCTGAACCAGGTGTACAGTCACTCAGTAAAATCCGCCACTCAAAGTATACAGAGCTGCCACAGAACTTCCTGAGTGCTGTAGGATCTAGGAAAACAAAGAGGATATGAACATTTTAAGCCAAATATGGGCAACGTTAAAGAGTGGCCAGATAAGTTACCTGAGAAATTTGGAATGTTTCTCTTTATTAAAAAGATGAAGCAATATCAATTTAAATAGATGGAATACAGTGGTGTGCACCAGCTATCTAAGTATTAGGAATACAGATTCATAACTAGATTTCAAGTTGAATGTGCACTGTAATTGGGAAAGAACATCTGGATTTATTATTTCAGCTTCTTTATTTCACATATAAACAAGATAATCATGCACCACGACTCTTCTAAATACTAATGTTAGAAGTTGATGCATGGTTATATGGGTGTCGTTTGTGTTTATACTTAAGTGTTTTCCACTTTATTACAAACATGCCTAAAATGCCAAAGAACTACACTTTTTTCCAATATATATGCGTATACACATATATTAAAACACAGATAACATGTTTTACATTCCCCAGTGATTTTTAAAGGGTAATACCTGTAAGTGTACAGTAGATTTGGGATTAGTAACAGTAAAGTAATCAAACTCTTTCACACAATTAGTGTGTAGACTGACCTTAAGTTTGCCTATGAAACTGAAATAAATCACGCTGGTCTTTTATCATCCTTCAAGAAATTTAGCTCTGCTTTCCTTACATATCAAAATGTTATTAGTAAGGTAAGTAGCTCCTATTTAGAATGGCAAAGCTAGGGAAAGGACTCTGTACACTAAGTTGACATTCCTAGATATTGAAACAGCAAAACTATTAGTAAATTGCAAGTTATAGCTTAGATTATTTCAGTGTTCTAGACTATATCCTGTGCAACTCAGACTCTGATAGGTTCAGAATAATTGTTGAAGAGCAGAAGTTCTTGAAAAATGAAAATTCAATTAAGTAATAAAATAACCCCCAAATACCAGTCTCATCAACTAAAGAATAACACACAGGTTGGCAAACCCCAAACTTGGGCTTATGAAATGTACACCTACAGATCCCTTTTAAAAAAGGCACACAGACAGAGACCCAGACGTGGAGAGAAATATGCTTACACACAAATGCTGGCATGTGAGAAATACAACTGAGAAATGGCATTTTTTTAAAACTAAAATAATGGGTATTTTATGTATTTGGCACAAGATAGTGTGGTACAAATACGAGAGATTTTTTTACACAGGAAAGTAGAATGGTTTTGTACCTTGAAGAATGCAGTGTCAAATGAGAGAAGCTCTCTGTATCCGTTGCTAGTACAGAATTCTTGCAGAGACAACTTTCAGGGTTAAACTAGGAAGAGTATAGCTTCTAAATTATACTGCTGAAGAGGAGAGCAACTGTAACTGGTGTGCTGCACGAGATCAGAGCATCTGCAAAGGCAGGAAATAACTAATGGAATACTTGAGTCATCCTTTATTGAATGGGTAAGTGTGATGACTGCTGTGTGGAGTACTAAGTCATGAGGAGAACCCACAAGGGGAAATATCTCTTTATTTGGTCCAAAGGACCATACAGAAACTGCCTGGAAAAAAATAAATCTTTGGTTTGTTGCAGTTTCATCACTACAGGCTGTGACAAACTTGAAAAGGTGAACTATAGGAACACAGTCAAACTCACTGAGATATAATAGGTGGTCAAAGGGTCAAATAGTTGCAAACAGTCTGCAAACTCTTTATGAGGGTCTTATTAAGTGTACACTTACTCTGCAGTGAGAGAGACTACAAGCTGCTTCTAAATGCAGAAAACAGAAAAGAACATGAAAACTATTAGATTAAATGTGAGACGTGCCCCACAGATGACAAATCAGTTATTCAGTTAAAATAAGATAAATGATCTTAGAAAGTTTTTTGTATTGATGTTCACAGTTGAGGAACTAGAGATTCTCATGCCCAAAGTCCTTTGAAAAAAGAGACATGTTGCAGGACCTGTCCAAGGTAAGGTGTCAGTGAAAAGTTTTCAGAACAGCTAGTGACAGTGACAATTGTCCTCAAGTAGATGACATGCCAGACAACAGCTCTGAAAGAGTAAGAAACAGTTCTCAACTGTAATGTATAACCTCTTGCTTAAATCTGATTTAGAGCCTAGGTGAATGTGAAACTGCTGCTGCTCAGCTATTCAGAGGGGTGAAAACCAAAAACTGTCTAGAAACCTCTACAGGAAGACCTTGTGAGTAAAGAAAATAGATAGTTAAGGAAAAAGTAGAAATTAGAGTAAGGGAAAGAATAAAACCTGTGCTAATCATACATACAATGACAGACTCTCTGAACTATTATCATATAAAGCTGTCTTGAATTTACAATGGACAATTCTATGAAAATTTGCTCAGTAGTGTTAAAAGTAGTCTTGAAAGGGTGAATAAATGCTAGGAATGAGCTTGTTATTATATATTTTTTTTTAATTTATCCAAACCAAAACATTCAGCCATTTATTAATAAGAGCATCATTTTTCATTATGATGTCATGCTTCATAACACAAGAGTTTGTTCTATTCAAATCAGCAAATATGGATCACTTTCTGTAGATGGGAATTTCTCCTGAGGGGTTGGTCAGTACTGGGACAGCTGATAAGATCAGCACCCACAGCTCTTGTGTGTCACTGACTGCACAAATGTTCAACCTAATTTTAGTTTATCTTAAAACTCTGGATTGCAAATTGCAGAGTTTTAAGAGCTCTCCATGAACAGTCTGGCTGTCCTGCACAAACACTGGAACACTGGCTTTGCCAGCTGTCCCCGTGCATTCAGCAGCCCAGAGGCAAAGTCCTGGGCCTGAAAGACAAGGGCAGGGGAGACTCCCGTGCTTCGGCTGCCTCCGTTTGTGCAGTGAGCAGGGACTGAAACCAGGCAAACAGAGCACAGTGGGAAGTGGAAACAGTGGGAAGAACTCAGTAAAACCGAACAAGTGGTTGCTCTTATTTTTCAGCTTGACAGCAGATCCAAAAGTCAGACCCACTTCTCTGTTCTGCTGATATTGGTGTTACTACACTGCTTAATGTATTTGCAGGGTTCCAGGGGCTTGAGCCTCCAGCTGACCTTCAGTGCTCTCTTAGGGTGTGTTCATTCTTTTTCTGTGTGGCACAGAGGGAGAAGAACAAAGAAAAAAAAAAAAAAAAAAATGACAAAAACCTTTACAATACAACGCTACAGTATCACTGGTATTGACCAGGCCAATCTAATCTGTTTGGAGCTGATTTTCTCTCTACCATGTTAACTTCTGTTCTACACAATCCATTTTTAACTGTTAGTATACATTTGCCAGTCAACTTACATTCTAGATAAATACTAGGGGAGGAAAAGATGAAACTACTGCAAATAAAGTAACAGCTGAAATTCTGAAATCTGGGATAACTGCCAAAGAGGTCAGTTAAATAGACAAAGTTGTTAAAATCATTTCCATTTCACAGCCCAATTAAAAAAAAAAATTAAAAAAGCTGTGTTGCATTTTGATCTGAGCCATATCTGACAAACAAGTTTTCAAAGTGCAGTTATCACTGTTGTAGTGGAGGAATATGCCACACATGTACACATGTAGTGTGTGCCACCCTCTCTCTTGTGATCTGGTCCAGTCATTATTTCAGGATTAGTGACCCGGAGTGTAAGCACAGGAGACATTTGATAATGCTTTTGCTGTTATCCACTCAATTGACACTGATCATCCAAAATTATTTTAGATGATCAGTAGGTACTAAATGACTACTAAATATTCGCAATTATTTAGTATGTAAGAGATTTCTGGTTCCCTATGTCTTGACAGTAGAGGCCCAGGGGCCGGGATTAGCAGTGAGAACACCGGGTAGCACGCATACCAAACAGGCAGTTGCTAACTGGATGGCTTTTAGGATTAAGTGAAAGGGCATATGAAATCCAAGCAGCCCATAGTCAAAACTAGGAAAGGTGGGATAAAGTGTTTTTTGGAAAGTATAGCAAAGAAGTTTTCTGTTGTTTGAAAAGCATCAGCAGTATAGAGTGCTCTGCCCTTTCTCAGAATGGTTGAAATTTACTTCCTTTCCTACCTGAAGAGCTTGAGTTTTGCTAGACAATGTTATAGAAAATGTGTGTTTATACTCATGAACTAAGTTTTCAGTTTTAATCACAGACCACTAAATGGTCTGTAATTGATCCTTGGTGGAAGGTGACATGTCATGCATTCAAATACTAACCTTTGGATTTCTGTTTTAGTCTTTAATACAATTTTCTCCATCACAAATTAATACAAAAAGGAAAATGCTGTATGATTTCACCTTCAGCCTTGTACATTTCTGTGCAGGATTTTATCTCTTCTTACTGACTGCATGATTTGCATTTTAAACTACTTTATGCCATCACCTGTATCTCATCTAGTCAATGTACAGTCTTCTGGGGTCTGTAGGCTACCCCCATCCATGTGTTGCTCACAGAGTTCCAGACAGCTGAACGGGACACTCCTGGAAAGTACAAAATAGGAAGATGTGTTAGTTGGGACGGTGCTCTAGGAGAAAACACCTTGGCCAGACACAGCAGTAAAAGTATTCTGGCCTTTTCTTGAGGCCTTCATGGTGCTTTGACAGAACACTGAGTTAGATATTAATTTTTTTTAAAAAGGCACTTTTGAATACTCATTGGGTTTATAAATTAGCAAATCTAACAAAGCCACTGGGGCA